CCGTGTGCAGTTCCTGCAGCACACCTGGGTCAGCACCACCCTCGTGCAGCTGCTTCAACGCCTTGGCCTGGTGGACTTGCAGGAGGGCCATGGCGTGCAGGGCGGAAGCGGCCTGTCCAGCAGCACTGTAAGCCTTAGCCGTCAGAGCGGACGAGAACTTACAGGCCCTGGACGGAAGGCGTGGACTACCTCTCCAGGCGGCGGCGCTTTGCGGGCAGAGCTGCATCACAATAGCGCGCTCGACTGGAGGGATACACCCTTGGGCCGCCCCCCCCCGTCGAGGGTGGTGAGGACGGAGGAGGCACCAAGTCTGTTTCGGGCAGAAAAAGGTGCCTTCCAAGACTTAGTAGCCTCCTCATGCACTTCCGGGAAGAATGGAACCGGAGGCGGTTGCCGACGCCCAGCCTGTGCCCCCAGGAACCAATCATCCAGCCTCGAGCGTTCGGGAGAAGGAGGAGGCCTCCAGTGCAGCCCGACACTCTCGGCGGCCCGGGAAAGCATAGCGGTCAGCTCTGGATCTGACTCGGGCAACGCCACTCTACCTGACGGTGGCAGCGCAGCCGAATCCTCATCTCCAGAGCCTAGCTCGCCCTCCGATGCAGCGATCGACATCCTGTCATCCGCCTGTGCTCCGCATAAGATGCTGGACCCCGCCCTGTCCGAGGATCCAGCACACTCATCCGGGAACACCAGGAGGTGCGACATGCCAGAGGAATGAGAGGCCCGCGGAGACGTACTCGACGGGGAAGCTCTCACCGTGATCCTCAGGTCTCCCTGACCATGAACCGAAGTAGCCCTCCGAGGACCAGAGGAGCTAGAGCGGGGCATGGCAAGGGGGATACCTCCCCCGTTTAATGAGGAGGTATCTAGACCGCAACGTCGCGATGGTCATGTTCCCGCACTGAGAACATGACTCATCCATGAGCGCTGCTTCAGCGTGCTGTAAGCCCAGGCACGAGATGCAGCGATCATGACCATCAGATGCAGCCAGGAAGCGACCACATCCAGAAATGCACGAGCGGGAAGCCATCTTTAAAAAGACGCCCGTCGCTCGTGGAGCTCTTTTAGAATTTGCTCTTTTAGAAAGGAAAAACACTCTTTTAGAGAGAACGCTGAAGCGCCCAGGGGAGGTCGCAGCGAGACCGCAGAATGGAAGCTGCAGCTCGCCGAGGTTTCAGCAGCCTGGATGGCAACCCCCGCTGACACGCCGTAACACCAACGCCAGCCGTTTTCCGAACACTCGCGGAGATTCGTCCTGTAGAAGGCTTGGCTCCGAAGCAAAAAGCTGATGTGCGTTTGCACGCGCTCTCCTTTTATACCCGCGCTGCGGGGCGGGGTGCGCGTGGCGAAACACGCACGCCAACTGTCATTGGCTTGTTTAGTTAACACTCGAAGGTGATTGGGCTCTCGGGCGAGATCCCAATTCGTCAGTCACGACTGACGTAACGTAGAACGTGACTGACTGAAAGGGAATAAGAAAGACTATTAATAATATTTCATTGCGCAGAAAAGTATTATAATACTAAAGGCTCCAATACAGAGCGGCACAAAGCACTTATGCGCATCCCGTGCGCAGAATGATGCGCTTGAAGCAACACGGAGTCACAGTGCGCAGGCGGCGCAGACCTCCGAGTCCGTTTAGAAAAGTTAGTACAAAGGGAAGAGATACTGATACGTAGTGTATTAAATCTGTGTGTTAGTTTATTAAGCCTTTTCTTTTAACAGTTTTAAACCTCAGTTACTGTGCGCTCTTGAAGGGAGTTTCATCATTTTGACTGTAGTAACCGAACGCAACACGCAGTTTGATTGCTGAATGGAGGAATACCGTGGTATCAATTTTTGGTCATACCGCCCAGCACTAATGAAACGTCAAGGCCGAAGCCTGGCGCGAACTCAGGGTGTCCTTAGGAGCGTTCTAGCTCACATCCTCATCTTCTCAGAATCTAACAGAACCGCAGACTCACTGGCTATGTGTTGGAGCCCGCCGGGCACGCCCGCACCGGCTCAGGCTCCAACACGCTTCTTAGCAGAAGAAGAACAAAAGAAGCTGGGTAGAAAAAGCACTCTGGGCGGAACTGTGCGTGGGCCCTTTTAAAGTCTGAGAAGATTCCCGCCTCTTAGGATGGGCTTGTCCAATTAGAAAGGCTGAAGTTTCAAGCGGGAGTTTGGATACTGGGGAGTTTTACGATCCTTTGTGTGAGGGCATGGTAATTTGCAAATGGAACTCAATCAAATTACTAAAGATTCTTAGAACACTAATATATTGCCTATGTACCAACATATAATATACACTCTCGTTTAGATCATCAGAAGACGAATTCATAGATACTAAACATGGTAGGATTACATATAGGTAAGATTACATGAACGAGTGGTTCTATCATAAGCCTGCATAAAACAGTATACGCTACAATGCCTATTTCTATAACTACTTTTAGTCATTTGTGTACAAGATAAATAATAAAGGAGAGAGGACACATCCTTGAGGTGACCCAGTAGATGACACCAGCCATTCATTAAAACAATCACTTACTTTAACTCTCTGTGTTCTCTGCACAAGTAAATCTAAAATCCATCCTACGAGACTACAATCCAACTCAAATTCATTAATGAGCTTCTCGACTAAAAGATGTGGCTGAATGGTATTGATAGCGGATGAAAAATCAATAAAAAAATAAAATAACAAATGTTTTGAGCTTGTCCAGATGCTGAAGTACTAAGTGTAAGAGAGTCGCTACTGCATCCTCTACACCTCACTTAGACCTATATGCAAATTGTAGGGGGTCAAGTGAACTCTGTGTCCTTTGCATAATTACTTTAACTATTTTTTCAAAACATTTCATAACTAAGGATGTAAGCGCCACAGGTCTAAAATCATCCAATATCTGGACATTATGCTTTTTTGGCACTGGAAACACTGTAGACTGCTTCCAGAGTGCAGGTACTTTTTGTTGTTGAAGGGACAGAGCAAAAATGTCATAAAATATTGGACCTAACTGCTTGGCACATTCCTTAAGTAACCGACCCCCGGAATCCATTAAAACTAATTCTGTTATTACTTTTCCTATCCTGACCTGTTATTAAATACATCCCCTGCCAAGCAGAACCTAAATTTCCCATTCTCAATTTTACCTCAAGATTTTCCCTGTAGTCTGATTTAGCCCTCTTAATTTCACACTTAATTTCGAAAGAAGAATCTTGAGTGATTTTGTGACCCACGGTTTGCTGTTTGGAAATTTCCTAAACAATTTCACAGGTATTAACATTTCCTCACAAAACGTCAGATAACTACAAATTACATCTGTTAATTCATCAATGTCAAAACCAGAGTCCATAAAAAGAGTTTAATCTGTACATTCCAAACACCCTTTTAAATGTAGCGTCACATCTTCAGACCAGTCCTTCATCTTAATTAACTGTGCCTTTTCATGTTTCAAAACAGTTTTATATGTAGGAACAAGAGTAATACTGTATTGTGATCTGAAGTTCCTAAAGGTGGTTTACCAAGTAACTTGTAAGCTCCTTTAATCGATCCATAAAACAAGTCCAAAATGTTATCCTCACGTGTTGGGCAAGTTACATTGATTCATACTGATTGAAGTGGCCCAGTGATTTCTCCAATGTACAATTATTAAAATCTCCCAGAATAAAACTGGGTGCATCAGGAGATACAGATTGCAGTTCATGCACCACACATTCAATCTCCCTTGCTGCATTGTCCTCATTTGCTCGGGGATGAATGTCTTAATGCCACAATCAGCAACTCAATTTCTTTCGTGCACACTCTCTCCTTAATGGGGTCATGTGATGCAATTTCAAGTTTTCCTTTCTCTTTGGAGTGTTACAAGCTGTTTGTGAATAGATAAGATCCTTAAAGTTGCAAAGACTAAAGTCTCAAACCCAAAGAGATATTCTTTATAAAAGTTAAGACTT